GAGCAGCGGCTGTGGGGCCCGGACGTGAGTGGCCGAGCGAGCGGCTGTGCGGCAAGCCGGGAGGGGGACCGTCACTGCGGGGTAATCGGGTTCCCACAGTCTCCAGAGGGGCGCCGGCAGCTGGCATTCGAGTGCACCGGCCAGCGAGCACATTCCCTGGGCACAGAGGAGAGACGGGGAGACCCGACACAGCAAGGCGACAATCTCTTCTCCCCATTAACACGAGATCCCTGAGGAAGAGGACCTGCCTGGCTGAGCACCTTCAGACCGCAGCCCACCCCCCTGCCCACCCCCTGCCCGGCCACCCCTCTGCGGCTGTCCCTCCTGGAGGGCGGTGTTGGCAAGCCCGGAACCCCACGGGAGATGAACTAGGAAGGAACACGTTTTTGCTGTAGCAGGGTTGCATTTCGAATGCTCAGAATATGGATGTGTTGTGTGTATCTTTTGAAATAAAAGTTGTGACAACTGTGAAGTCATAATGAAATGCCGGCTTCTCCCCAGGTCCTCAGGGCCCCAGAAACTTCCTTTTCCTAAGCTCCGAGCGCCTCTGCTTTGGGGAGATGGAAATCTGCCGCCGCGCTGGCAGACCTCTCCTCGCATCCCCTTAATTGGCAGCTGGTCAAAGGTACGGGGAGCCCCGTGCCGGCTCCCTCCTCCTCCGCTTGCTGCTTGGTGCCCGCTTTCCTCAGAACAGGGAGCATTGGGGAAATGACACCCCACCCCCGGAAAGGCTGGCGCTCAGCCTGGAGTGGCTGCAGGCCCTTCAAAGGCTGCCCAGCGTCCCTGCGTCCCGTCCCGTGTCAGAGGTAGCAGTCAGAAGCTGCTCACTCCGGGGCTGCGCTGCTGAACTGAGGACGCCTATTGACGTTGCTATGGCAACAGCTCCCTCCCCCCCTCGGCACTGTGGCTCACCCCGTTCACGATTGAATAATTTTCCATTGAGCTGTCACAATTAATTGGTGGATTTTTATTAGCCTTTTAGAACCACCCTGGGCCGGCCCAGCTGGCACCTTGGAGCATTCCAGTGTTTCCCTTCTATTAGTGACTACGTTCCCCAGTAGCAGTTCTCAGTCTGCGGCAGCCGGAAAGCCACTTCATTAAGGCGACAGATCGGAGCCACAAAAGAACCGCCGCCTGGGGAGAGGATGGCGAGTGAGGTGGGGCAGCCCAGGGTCAGAGCCGTGCCCGCCAACGGAACACTGCCTGTCCCGGTGCCCACTGTGCCCACACAGAAACAGGCACCCTGCGGCCTTGCCGTGCACCCTGGGTCCTGGAGCTGCTGTGATAGGGACAAGCCAAGGGCACCATGGTCTGGGAGGCACATCCTCCTCAACTCTCGCCACTGTCTGAGGAAGAGCTGACCGAGAGGCCCCTTGGAGGGCTGGGGTGAGCTCAGCGGCAGAGGGCTCCTGCTGTGCCCAAGGCCCTGGCTTCAGCCCCTAGCACCACAGGAAAAAAGAACTCCTGCAAAGCATTGTGGTCATCACCTGCTACATGTCACTAGGGGGTGGACACAACCCCTGGAGCATCATCTGTAAGGATGGGCAGAAAGGGGCGATGTGATTCCGACTGGTTCCCTTGCTTGAGGTGTGCTCAGTCACCTGGGGTGCCCAGTCCACTTTGCGGGGGACAGTAATCTGGAGTGATCCTGTCCTGGCTCAGTCACATGCTCATCAAAGACCAGGTGGACAGGCCAGGCTGAGGCAGAGAGGTGCCCTGGAGCAGGTCCCCTGCCCACCTTCACTTGCCAACCTCCGTGCTCTGAGAAAGGACGAGCCCTTGGCCACTGGTTTTGAGAACCTGGAGGACGCGGAGCTGAGCCCTCCGCCCAGCCCTGCACACGCTGGGTCTGCACTGGCAGGTTTCCATCCAGCAGACTTAGCCTGGCCTCGGTGGAGGGGCCTGGGAAGAAGAAAAGGGGCGGGAGACTTCAAAGCAGTGGCTGAGCTCGGCCACCCTCAGCATTAAGAGCCAATGTTTCCTCCGCCCCGTTTGCTTGAACACCTGAGCTCGCAGGTTGACCCGAGGGCTCTGACCTGTTCCACCACTGCCAAGACACCTGGTCGCACTTCCTCCTCAACTCCCAGTACCCCCCCCCCACACACACCCCGTGGTCCTCCCTGAGGAGAGCTCTCGTCCCCTCCAGGCTGGTGAAGGTGACACTCAGGAAGCATTTACTTTGGAGCGGGGATTCAGCCCCCTAGTGCCCAGCTTTCTCCCGAGCCTGGCGGCTCCTGCTCCTCTCCAGAGCTTCCTCCAGCTGTTCCCTATGTTTACTTCAGACACAGAAAGGGGCTCCTCCTGGTGTGCCCTTAAGTGGCCCGTGTCTGCCTGTTATCCCAGACTTGAGAGGCTGAGACAGGAGGATCGCAAGTTAAAGGCCAGCCTGGGCAACTTAGTGAGGCTTAGTGAGACCCTGTCTCAAAATAAATAAATAAAACGAATGGAAAAGCTAGGCACAATGGCCATGCTTGTGATCCCAGCAACCGAGGAGGCTGAGGTAGGAGCATCATAGGTTTAAGGCCAGCCTGGGCAATTTAGCAAGACCTTGTCTCAAAATAGAAAATAAAAAGGGCTGGGATGTAGTTCAGTGGTAGAGCACCTCTGTGTTTAATTCCCAGTACTAGGGGTCGGGCGGGGGGGAGGGAATGGAGAATACTTCTGTCTATAGTTTCCTGTATGTTTCAAAAATCAAAATTCTTCTTTTGGAGGGCGGGTATCAGGGATTAAACTCAGGGGCACTTGACCACTGAGCCACATCCCCAGCCCTTTTTGTTTTGCATTTAAAGACAGGGTCTCACTGAGTTGCTTAGGGCCTTGCTTTTGCTGAGGCTGGCTTTGAACTTGAGATCCTCCTGCCTCAGCCTCCTGAGTTGCTGGGATTACAGGTACGTGCCACTGCGCCCAGCCCAAAAAAATGTTCCTGGGGTAGCTGCTGTGTGAATAGGGGAGTCACCTCCTTTAATTTGGCTCCAGTGTGAAGACGCTACAGTAAAGAGGCTACTTGAGACCTCAGCCCTGATGAAGCCCTTGTCACCTGGTGCTGGTTGTCCCCTTGGGAATGCCCTCTCAGACTAGGTCTTGGACAGGCTCTCTAGCTAGTTACTATGGCAGGCACGAGGCAGTGGTGCTGGGTGACCACCAAGAAACCTCCTCAGCTTTTGTGCCCACTGAGGGCAGTGACCGGCCCTGCTCTACTGAAGGACAACGTGAGGGTTCCACATGGGACAGTGTCTCCAGGAACAGCCTTCATTGAGGTCCAGCGTGCATCACAACGTGTACTAATTCAAGCTGACCATGTTTTGTGGTGACACACCCACTAGCCGGTGACATCCAGGCTGACCCAGAGCTGTCCCCAAACCGTGCCCGAGCAGCACCACAGTGGAGCTACAGCTCGCCCCCAGCTGGCTCCTCCCAGGTCCTGTGTGGGCGCCGGCAGGTTGTGACATGGGCCATTCTCGCTGTGCCACTGTTACCCTGCGAGCACCCCGTAGCTTACCCTCTCCTCCCTGAGGAGCAACTGCACCATTTTCAGTGTCTAGGTTCCTGTTCTGTGACAGTGACAGCATCAACAGTGGCTGCCAGCCCCTTGGTGCACTGGGCCCCTGGATGCTTCCTGGTTCAGGGCCTGAGAGGAGGACGCTGCCCCCGTGCAAAAGTACATTTTTATGGAGGCAGAATACAATTTCTATTAGATTCTCAAGGGGTTCTAGCACCTCAACATGCTTAAGGAACCACGGTCTTAGACTGGCAGACCAAACTCAGTGTGGTGAGGTCAGGGGACATGTGGCAGGTCCTCGTTTGGGAGGACATGGGCTGAGGTCATGGGTCTCATTCGTGTCACCTGACTCACACAGATGCCAACACACCTGAGGACGCTGTGACGACCACATAACAGTCCACTTTGCACACAAGGAGCAGCCTCCAGCTGTGGCCGCCACCACACAGGTCCAGGTCTTTGTTTCAGACCAGTCCTGAGGAAGACCCTGCCAGCAGCAGGAAGGCCCCGGGAGGCCGGGTGCCCGACTCCACCCGTGAGCATCAGCGGCCCACGCCTGCTTGTGTCTGTGGAGGGAGCGGGGCCTGGGCCCAGTGACAAGCCTGGGGCTTCAAAGGCACCATGGGCAGAAGTGCTACTACCCACCTCCCCTTACCAGTGTCACCCAGCTTGGGTGGAGGCTGGTGGAGGGAGGGTTAGCAGCCCCACCCAGAGGTCCTGTGGAGGTCCCCAAAGGCAGGACACTTGTGCTCCTTCTTGTCCACACCAAGAAAGACTGTGCCCGGCATAGCTGATGTGGGTGGGGCACATGGGGCTGTGGGTGGGAACAGAAAGTAGGTTTGAAGGAAAAGGAAAAAGGGACTCGGACGTGGCCTACTTCCCCACTTCAATGACCGTGGCAGCCTGACATGGCCAGTCAGATGGGGCCTGGACGGCGTGTGGCAGCCAACAAGTGCGGGCCAAGGACTCAGAGGGGCCAGAGCGCACAGCACAGCGAGTGAGTCTTACAATATCGGCCCCAGGACAAGGGTGACGCTGGGTGGGTGGGTGGGGCTGTCACTGTGGGAACCCGCCACCCCTCTGTTCCATGAAACAATGCTGGGTCTCAGCTCAGGAGCCAAGCCCACGGCACCCTCCCCATAGGTGCACAATGGCTTGGAATGACAGGAGTCACAGAACAGAGCAATGTGCCAGCAATTTTATAAACACTTATTTATTTCAAAAATACTACAGAGGAGAGATTTAGATTAAAAAAAAAAAAAACAAAACACAGTCATATACAGAAACAAAATGTACTGGACCAAGGGAGAGAAAAGGGTCACCCTGGGCATCCAGAAGGGAGTACAGTGGAAAACATTTACACGTC